TATTTACTGTAGAATCATTATTACTAGCATTATCAAAACTAATAGAAAAAAAGTTTATTTTCAATTCCATAATTATGTAAAGTATTTAAAATACTTGCAACAATTGTTAGGCTAGTATGTGGTCATTCAAGCCTAGTAAAACTTAAAATGTATTTTTGTAAAAGCGAATTTTCATCAATAAAATGACCAATAACACAAATATAACTTATATTATATTTAGAGGTCCAAATATTAGAAGTAATTGCAACTCTAGAATTAAGATTTGATAAAATAGAAATTTAATTTTGTTTATATGATTAAAAAAATTAAAGCATATAATCTAGAAGTATTTCTAGAAACTTTTTGAAATTGTGAATTTATAGAATATTATAAAAATCTTTCAAGTTTAGTATCTTTAGCTAATAAAAATAGTTGTTCAACATGTATAATATATTTTGCTAACTCTTGCCTCATTTTTTCTTGAGAATATTTAAAAGTACCAAAAACCCTATGCCCAATTTGAATTTGAGATGTTTCCTTCCATTCATTTTCTTCTTGTTTCTTATGGGAGAGCAAATGTTTGCTCAAGTGGCTAATACCAACCTTGCAATTATAACTAAAGTCACTCCTACATTTTTGGCAAATGACTCTTTTTCCCTTTCCATCAACCTCTTCTATTCTAAATATTTTCAAAATTGGGTTAGTCAACTTGGTGTCCTTTTTCTTTTACCTAGTAGTAGTACTAGGGGTGGGAACTAGCATCCATATCGATGTTGACACTATCATATTGCGACTGAACATCACCGACATTGAACATGTTGGGGAATTGGTTTTGAGAGGAAGAACCAACCATTTTTTTAAATTTCTAAAGAAATAAAAATGAATTTAATTGCACTTTCCTGGATTGTCGATTTAAAATATCAACTTGATTTTAACAGTTGAAGCCTCCAAGCCTCCCAAATTGCTAACTTGAGATACTTGGGAAAGCGTTCTTCTTGTTGAAACTTGAATAAAGTTGAGAATTGGAAAGTATATATATATATATATATATATAKAGAGAGAGAGAGAGAGAGAGAGAGAGAGAGAGAGAGAGAGAGAGAGTATGGGAATTGGTCTGGTGGAAATGGTGGAGGATAGGGGTATTTATAGAAATAGAAAATAATTCAATTGCCCAAAATACTTTAAAAACTAGTTGGTTTTTAGTTGTTAGGATGGGTATTTTGGTAATTATAAAACCATTTATCACTTTGCCCAAATGCCCTCCAACTATCTGCTATATAGCTATTGGAGGGCATTGTTGTCATTTTTCCCTCTAAAGCCAAAATGCATAAATATAGCCATTTATAGCTATTGGGGGTATTTTTGTAAAACCTCATAAAAAAAGCAGAAACTAGTTGTTAGGGGTCACAGTGGCTAGTTTCCTTGGTCGGCACAACCTGCTTGGTCATGTCATGCTGTGCTGGCTCATGGACCTGGAACCCCAAGTCTAGCACAGCCCATCCCATTGTGCCATGTTATGCTAAACTGGCCTAATTTTGTGCTGGACTACGGGCAGCATAACCCGATTTACAACTTTAGCCTAAACAATCATTGAAGCTCTTTGTTTTGTTCATCATAAATAAAATCGTTATATCCTTAATAGACCTCTTCAACTATGCAGGCGGAAAGCATCACTTACCCATTTTCAATAATTTGGATTAGATGAACGCCTCCTAGTGGGGGCCTATCTCTCACGCAGTTGATACAATAGGCGAATTTGCTTGTTAATGCAGACATCTATACATAATATAAGGATGCATGTATATATTTTTCTTTTATTTCTATTGATATATAAAGTGAAGACTTCCAAATTCGACCAATCTTCCCAAATCTGACCAAGCCCAGCCCAAATTGTATTGGGTACATGGGTTTTATCATGCTGCTGGACTTGGGTTGCAAATTTGGACTTTGACCTTCGGTTGTAGTAAGTTTGGAAATAATAAGGTTTGCTCCAACATATTCAAAGTGGCATTCCTAGGATGTAATTAAATTTGATTTGTTAATATTGGGATTCTTATTGAATTTTATCCATCAACCTCGGATCAGATTTTAAATTGAATTCAGATATAAGATAAGACCATTAATAAAAGGCCGTTATCTAGGATCTTGGGAGGGGTGGATAACGCTTGACAGCCCAACATTAATTTAATCATTACACCCCAACCCCAACCCCAAGTAATGGCCGCGGCCCCTAGATACAAATTACACCAAAAGTATTAATAGAATGAACACTAGTAATATGCAAACATTCTAACCAAATAATAGTGGATCAAATTTGAATCGTCTTAGTCAAATTGATCCCATTTGCATCCCAACAGCAGGGATGGAATAACTTAGCTTTGTGCAGAGTGCAGTCAAGTGCTCTAAAGCCCCTTTTGAACTTTTGAATTGCACCGCTGTCCTTTCTTGAATGCGGCGAGACGAGTACCTTCGATTCCCAGGCTGCAAAGAGATAAAATGGGACAAACCCAACCCACCATTCAACTGGTATTGTGAAGCAAATCTGTGGACAGAATTGCTTCGACCCCAAGAAATGAAATACGCGTCACGTCTCCTTCTCTCCGGAGGAGTCAACAATCCAGAAGCTCCGAACCTTGCAACTCAGCATTTAATTTCTACGTAATGTCAGCCCCATATATATACCATTACCTTCAACAGAAGACCACATAACATGGGGCTATGGTGGACTTGAATCGAATATTAGGCACAGATACCTCAAACTATACAACTTTTCCTTGAGCTAAAGCTTGACTTGATGTCTCCAAATTCGGCCATGGCCACCTGTCAGAATCTTTTGACTCGTAATGTTTGAGTCTACGTACCTTTATACAATTGTCCTTTTATATCTTCTCTATCTGCTGTCAATGCTTCTGTATATATATTTATAAAGGGATATATAGAGCCAAGGAGGGATTCAGACTTCAGAGCCAGATCAATCTTAATTAAATATTGTTAGAAAAGATCAGAGAAGATTAAACTAAATGATGAAGAAGAGCGCTGCTGGGTTTCCTCAGAAACCAAAAATGGTGGAGATAGAGGACACTGCCTCGCCACCCAGGTCTTATAATAGAGATGGGAGGTCCAATGTGAGAGACATCAAATCTGTGAGGATCAACCACTGCAACTCAGAAGACATAGACGAGTGTGCTGAGGCATTTATCAAGAGGTTCAGGGAGCATCTTCAGATTCAACGTCTCGACTCCATCGAGAATTATTAATTAGCTCGAGAGCTCTTCTCCCAGTTTCTATGGCCTCCTCCATCTTCTATTATTCGTATATGGCTTTTTAGTTTATGTTTTTGTTCATTCATTTGCTTCATTTTTTTTGTTTTGTCGATTTGTTTGCTGTAATGTTCTTGATAGTTGATGAATAAATAACTGGAAATTTGCAAAAGATGTAATTAATTTTGAATTGTATTTATCAATTAATCGTCATTGCCCAATTAGTACTGTAATATTGAGAGCCCACTACACGGTAAAGAAGAGTAGACAGTTGAGCCACCAAAGGTCGGAGGAAATGATAAGGACTGATTAGGGTTTGATGAAACTTGAAAGTCAGGCAGGAGGGGCTGCGTGCGTTATATATATCCTCCACTGATGGATCAAACCTATTGTAGTTCTTGTGGCAGTGGAGGAAGAGGAAGGGAGAGAAAATGAGTCGGATCTTGGATCTCCCTAGATCTGAGAATGATAATTAATGTGGCCAATTCTAGATTGCTAGATGCAGTTAGCCTGGTCTATGATGGTTTGCAAGTCTATATTGATCCTATATATAGCAGCGATTCAAAAAGAGATGATGATGGCATGTGATACTAATCCATTTATATACCTCAAAGGACTGCCTAAAATTATTGGAATATAATAAAACTAAATGGGTCTGTTACAAATCCACAACTATTTGAGAATAACCAATTAAACCCGGACCTATCGTCTGTCGAGTCCGGATCTGGTGTAGGCACATTATTCGACGAGAGGTGGAGTAAGCATAGCCCTACAAGTTTTGCCTCCTCCTAGCTCATCCATGCAGATGCAGTGACGACTTAAGCTGAGCATACGCAACGCACTGATCGAGTGTTTACTTTAATTACTGTGCTCACTGAGTGTGCCTATCAGATCCATGCTGCCATCTGACCCTTTTATTATCTAATGGGACACACTGAATGCAAGTGCAGAGGAAAAATGTCAGCAGATCCGGACCGGCTATTGATTGATCATTTAACATGGCTTTTCAACTCAAAATTACCTCATTAACAAGGATTAAGAGCTCAAGCTTCCTGCCAAGCCCCAAACTAATTTTTCATCACTTAGAAGATTTTTCTTGCAATTATTTAGCCAAATTAATTAACAAGGATTAAGAGCTCCACTCTCCATGTTAGTGGGCTCTTTTCTTGAATTACCACTAATTAGAATTTGACACATGTCTAGTGGGCTCTGTTCTTGAACTACCACTAATCAAAATTTGACATGTGTCCATTTTGTTTAAATTTTTGGAATGATAAGTGTCTGAATGTAAATGAGCCACATGTCTGACTATAGGAAACTTTGCCCTGAAATCATTACTTTAATATTATATATATATATAAAGGTTTTTAGTTTTATTATATTTTATGCCTAAAATAACAAATTTGATAGATACTATATAAGATAGTTTTAATTAAAAACTTGATTTATTAACATATAATTAATTTACTATTTTACTGTCACTTTTAATAAAATCATATTATCAAAAATCAAATTTTTAGTTATTATTTATGTAAATAATTATCAGTATAATTAGGTCTATTGGGTTAGACCTGATTATCAATCAGGATGGTTTCTCAGCATATGATTTTGTACCAATTAGTAATCAATCGGTTCAGGAATGAAACACCCGACCAAGACTCGAACCATTGACATCCCTAGAATGAGAAACTTGAAGAAAAAGAATAGAAAATAAAGTTCACTTAAATGATATTCATATTACTAAAATTTAGAACACTCCAACAGTAGAGAAATTATTACATAACTTTCTACATGCCTTAATCAGTTTGAAACATTATAATGCCTCTAACAGGGGTGGCATTTTCATTATCATCATCATCATCACCTAAGCCTTGTCCCAACTCAATGGGCCCAGCTATTTCATCATTAATTCCTTTTAAGTGCCATATCCATTATCAAAGTTATGAGCGCTTAAATATATATGCTTTATATATATGAAATATTTGCAGCACGATCCATATGGTATTGTGCAATCCATTGGCTGATGATTTTAAGCTCACTGCGCCGTTGCACGATTAACCAGTCTGGGTCATTTGGTAATGCAGCATAGATATCCAAGCAGTGGGATCCTACACTAGCAAACGTTTTGTTAGTAATGAGCTTGATTAATAAGCAAAATTTTACAAAGGTTCCATCTATTTATCTGTAGAAGGGCAAACAAAGCTTTGATTTCCCCACCCCTTTTACATGAAAATTAATTAACACAGACTAAGTTGCATAATTATGGAGATATGTTGCTTTTCTGTCTTCCTTCGGGCTGCAGCTTGGGCGGGCTCAATCTGAGCCCAACCCGATGTTTTTTATGTATTGGGCCTAAATTTTCTGGCTGCAAGCTGGGTCTGGGTTAGAATACTCGGGCCTGGACTGAACTTGGGTTGAGGCCTCGTATAGTTTGAGTCTGTTTGAACTTTGAACGAATACATATATGCATGCGTTTTATTTATATAAAGATGCTTTTACAAATGTTTATGTACATTTAAATGAAATTTATATATATTTTCAATCAATTCTATTCTTAAATTGGATCATAAAGCTCAATAAAAGATGATTATATAAAAATGTATTCATAAATTCTTTCAAACCTGACAGAGCCCAACACAATTCAACTTTGGGTTAATCTCTCGTTGGCTTTGGGTTGATAAAGTAAGGCTTGATCTTAGGTTGGGCCAGGTCTGAGTCTGAGGTTTGGATTTTTGGGGTTGGGCCTAGGTTGATCTTCAAGTCAACCCAACCTATCTGATTTGTGCCCTACACTCCTCTCTCTCTCTCTCTCTCTTCCAAATGTGTGCATTTACAAAACATTATATGGAGAGAGTTTGGCCATTCTATGGGTCCAATAGATAAAAGATCTTGTAACCAATGGAAGTTTGTTCAGATGTCTATCTAAAATTGGGATCTGCTCCTCACATAGCGCGCCTCACACCCACATCCAATTCTGTATTGGGAATATCTCCCTATGAATAATAAATGCAAATACAAGAGATTTTCCGATGTACAGCCAGGACATGCTGTGAGGCGCGGTCTGTGAGGAAGAGATCCGAACTCATCTATCTATAAGACTATAACCATACAGTCCATTGGTTTTCTCGCATGTATCACAAGATATAAGAAAGCGGGGAAAGTTATGATCATCATCACTCTTTAACCCCAGAAATATTTGAATTAAACACATACCTTTAGCCGTAGGAAGAGCTACAAGGCTGTCTGATAAGCTTTCCAACACGCTGATAAGATGACAAAGACTCGATTAATATCAATGTGTACAAATAAGATAAGCAATATATAAGTTCCTGGTTTAACTTATTACCCTCCAGCGCTAAATGGGTCTCTAAGTCCATTTGAGAATATTATGTTGCTACCAAACCTCCCAAGAACCAACTTAACATCCTGTTGCTTTCACATTAACAAGGTACAAATTATGAGAAAAATAGATGAGAGAGAGAGAGAGAGAGAGAGAGAGAGAGAGACTTGTCCACCAAATTGACTTGTGATCCAGAAAGGTTCAGGCATAAGTCTGAGATCATATAAGCCTTTGCAAGTTTCCTTGTAGCTGGTTAGATTGAAAGGTTCGGCCTGGAACATAGTATCAGTGCCACTGATTCCGGTGGGGATCAAAATCTCAGTACAAATCTGATGTAATAGAGGTATTAGAACACTTAAACATTGCCACGTCTTTGGAAAAATCCAATGTATGAGCTATATGCCCTTTCGATGATGATTAAGCTTAATTTAGAATAAAACAAATTATAAAGACAGGATGAAAATTAAATATCACTAGTTAATTACCTGCCAGTTCCAAGCCCACTGATGCATCTCATCACAGTATTCATGTGGGCCTGGGTACTTACTAAAGAAAGCAAACATAGCTGCGATGACCTTATCAAGAACATCCGTTCCGTTGGTTGCTCTATCGATGGCAGTGCAAATCAAGTTAACAGCTTGATTTATTTGAGGTGCATCATATTGGGCTGCTGCAGCATATACCAGTTTCAAGGCATCCTTGAGCCAGGAAGAGTTCTCTAATGGGCTAAGAAGAAAGAAACCAACAAATTAAAGAAACGATCAGTCTTGGAATTCAAACTAAAGTATTCAAATGAAAGGATATATATATGTGCATGGTGATAGAGAAACTAGGCTTGCTTGATTACGTGCAAGTATTGAATCTTCTGCTTAGTACTGAAAGACCATCTTCTTGGGAAGCAATCTTATCAATTTCAGACCATGACTGTTGTATGGTGTTGTAGCAGCTCTCACTGGCTTCCTGCATTTATTATCCACAAAACCAACAATTAATTTTGAGATCTTGTTAAGGAGATGAGTATGGGAAATGTAGATTGGTGGAATTCAATTTACTTACTCTGAAATCCTTGGAAACAATGGAGAAATATCCATCTTGTAGTTGTGGCTTGAGGCCATCTAAGTACAGAATTGGAGCAGAAGATGCTAGTGCTCCAAGGGCTATATAAGGGTATCTCAGGCGAAACAAAGTAGCAAGCACTGAAAATTGGAGGAGGCATTAATTAAGGAAATGGTTTAATCAAGAGTCTGCACTGCTGCTAGTGCTAATTGATCAGTTCAGCATTATTATGAGTTGTTTAAGCAGCTACCTCCACCATAAGATCCTCCAATAACAATCACAGGAGTACTATTGTTTGCAGATAAGTTTTTCTTTATATCTAGAATCACCTCAGCATAATCCTCTAGAGTTTGAGACAAATTCAAATAGTCAAGAGTTCTGTCATTTTGATACGCTTCCTCACTCGACCCAAATGGAGTTGATTGTCCATAGAACCGGTGCTACAAAGAATTAGCACTCTCTCTGGTAAGATTATTCCCATACCACAATTGTTATAAGAGCTGTAAGTTAATTACTGTTAACTAGCTAGAGCAAAAGTAACAATATCAGTTTTTTTAGCAGTGGCCTTTGAGAGTTGGGAATTCATAGTAAGACTAAGAAGAGAAGTAAGTGAAGAAAAAAAGAAGGAAATAAAACCCTAAATTTCTCAAGAATATTTTCATTCAAACTGGTTAGTTGTAACCTCTATTAATTCTCTCTTCATTTATGATATTACCTCTATATACACCAAAAGAGCATTGAACTGAGGAGCATTATCCGTCATGAAGCCAATCCTGCGGATTTGATCATCCAAAGGTGCGTTGGCTCCAAGGTAAACGAAGATTGGAGCACTGGAATTTGCACCACCCCAGAACTTAGAATTGATCACATATTTCTGTTGGAAGGTAGCTTGACTTTCAGCCCTGTAGTTGAAGTGGTCAAGCTTCTGTGTATAGAAATACGTGTTGAAGTCTCTTGAGGGAAAAGAAAATGGGGTGAGTCTGCGATGACTCTGCTTGGTTATTCCAAGAACACTGAGACTCGGCATGGAAGGTGTTGCAGAAACACATGTTATGAAGAGGAGAAGAAGTAAGCAAATGACCGAACATGTAAGAGAGTTAAGGGCCATTTCTTCACATAACAGCCTCAAATCCTCAACCCGGAATATATATAACATTAGTTCCAGGTGGTAGACGCCACCATGCAATCATGTCCACTAATACTTCATCTGTTTAATTAAAGCTTGGAAGACCCAATTAAAACACCAGGAAGCTTCACTTGAAATCATCAGTTGATTCTTTTGGGTGTGTTTTGACTTCTGAGAACACATCCGTGCCCAATGGGCCGACATAAATCATAAATGTGCCAGTGATAAGTGATTCGTACACCTGGGCCCACGATGGCCTGGATTTTGCAATCGGGATCTGCTCCAAGCAAGACGTGTACAACACAAGCTACAAAAATGTAGTCCGTGTGGAATGGGCTACATTTTTTAATATCATTTGTAGCAGATTTTCTCCCAAGAAATATTTCTTTACCAAACAGTCTCTAAGGGTTGTTTGGCACCACTAGCCTATAGCCTATAGGGTTTTCTGAATTTAACGGTCAGTTTTCAGTTTTCAGTTTGGTTGGAAAATGTTTTGAGTTGAAACAGTCAAAAAAAAAAAAAAAAGAAACTTTGTATAAAAATATTAGGGGTGTTTCAATTTTCAAGAAACATCAATTTGATGCTTCCTATCCTTGGAAGAAGAATCTGATCAACAACCTCACTAATGTGGAGCACTAGCTGACATGATAAACATGTACACCCATTTTTCACCAAATGGGATTCAAGTAAAAATAGTGATGTTTGTGTATTAAGTATAAATGGTGTTTCAACACTAAGCACTGCAGATTGAAAGACTACCATTAACCATGACCATAATGTACTTTTAAACAAAATCTAATTGATGCAAAGCTTTTCATGAGATGAGTTGGGATCTCCTAAGACCATGTTTGGTTTGAAGAAAAATGTAGRAAAACCTTTACAAATCTTATATTGGTTTCCTTACTTTTCCTTCAAAACAAATATAGCGTAAAAGTAAAATTTGTATACATACATTGAGATCAGAACATGGCATCCAATCATATAAGGAACATCTCCCTATGGATATAAATTACGAGGCTGACAGGTATTCCCAATGTATCATGTGTAGCTGGACGCTGACTACGTACTGTTTTAACTCAGAACAATCTCTAACCAGACAAAATGTTGAATGTTATGGCGCTAATATGGTGGTGTTTAAACTTGAAATGCCAATGGTACTGGATATAGCTCCTAAATATTAACAATTTACCAACATATTAAAGTACTTTTTAGTTTCTCTGTCAGGACTTCTTTGGGCATTAATTTTAAGGGCGGTTCCACTAAGATACTAAAAATAAAAAGATAGATATCTGAAAAAAAACTTGTAACCAATCTACTGTATCGTAAAGGTGTTAATCAATCAGGCAGTATTTATCGAAATTCATGGATGAGTTTTGATTTATCAAATTAAGCTCTTTCGGTACTATATCTTTCCGGCATCATAAATTTTTTCTAATTTTAATTCATAAATTTTCATTAATTTATTAAATTAATAAATTAATTCAATATAGACCAGGACATGGGACCTCAGTCCAACTAAGATCGTATAGGGTTTGTAAGTATATATTAGACCCTAGACTCATAACTAACCATATAAAATGAATTGAACATCTCCCTATGCATAATAATACATAGTGAGGGAGATGTTCCTGATGTGCATATGTATGTATGGGAGGCATTGTCAGGTTGGCGTGAAGAGAAGATTCGGACTTTTATAAAACCCGATTGTATTTGACACTCTTATATATCCCCAATGAAATGATGTTATTACACAATTAGTTCAGCCTTAATTTAGTGTGGACAGGTAAAAGTAAAGCCAATCCGTACCCTATTATATTCATTAGTTCTCTCTCATTGGGTCCCATACAACCTCTCTCTCCTGATTCATGTATTTCCCAAATTACAACTGACTCTATTAATGATTTGACCTCAAGATGCAGGCCCACTCCTTGTGTAATAGGATTGGGGTCCATTTTTGTGGGTTGGGGCCTCGTGTTTAATGATTCCTTGTTGCTCGATTTCCTAAAATGCACAACCTAGTTAAAGTGCATTGGTCGGGGAAGGAGTAGATAGACTATTAAACTAGTTTGGTTGGTTAAGATCCCAGTTCTAGAGAAGGCCAGTGTATATAGACTGTTTGGTAAGAAACCTCTGAAACCTATTCTTAAAGAAAAATTAATAAAATGTAGAGAAATAAAAAGTTGATGACAAATTCTTAAGAAATTTCAAACCATTTTTTAGAAGGCCAATTTCTAACCAAATATTTAAAAAATATTGGCCAAAAAATATGACTTTTAAGTTTTAATACATTCATGCAAGTATGCATGCTTATGTAAATAGAGAAATATTCCGTGATTTTGTAGTCCAAAGCGGAAAATTTTATTATCCAGACTTTCTTGATGGGATTATTTAGGCTTCTATAATGGTTAAACAATAAGAACATGTGGAATGCATGGGATTTGTTAAGTTAAAGATAAACAATAGAAACATGTAAGAGTATACATTTGTTTTATATAATAATAAATAATCATTTATATTTTATATACTACTTTTAATAATTTTTTTACAATACAAAAATAATAATAATTAATTTTAGATAGGATTGTTTATCAAACTTAGTGATAGCAATTTTCCCCATTTCCTTGATCCTCATGGGGATTTTCCCCGAATGGGGCAGGGGTGGGGATGATTAGTTTTCCCCCTACAAGGATGGAGATAGAGAAATTTTCATCCCTATTGGTGGGAATGGTGCGAGGACAGGGAGAGCACTCCCTGCTCCGCGAGGACACCAATCCCCGCTAATATATATATATATATATATATATATATATATATATATATAATGTTAATATTTTTTAAAATATGGTTGAATTTTTTGAATCTTTTCTAATAGGATTGTAAATCTTAATTATTTTATTTTTATTTTTTAAATAAAAATAAAAAACAAAAACATAATGGTTGACATTACAAAGAATCACAGGGAGCGGGGATCCCCATGAAGACGGGGATAGGGAGAGGCTCCTCTTCCCCGCCCCGCTCCGTTGCCATTCCAAATCAATCTAATGAAACTGGCCAACTTGATTTCTATTATTTCCTATCGACTTTGGTTCAACAATTTCCCAACCTGATTGGGTTGGATTAGTTTCGCTTTGGCAATTTGTAAATAGACTAAAGTCGAATGACCCGACCATAGATATATATTAATATTTTATATTTTAAATATATGTTTTTAATACAAAAAAATTGGAAAATTCCATTATTTCTTAGGCTAAAATAGTTTATACCATAAACTTAATTTTTAATACTGCCATTGTATTTTTTTAATTCAAACTTAATTTTTAAATTTAATTTTTTAAGTTTAAATCTTTTGAACCGACCGATCAAATCGAAAATTGACCCAAACCAATATAACCTGAGTGACCAACCCCCCAACCTAATTAGGTCGATTTGGTTAGCCAAACAACCTACAACTGAACTGAACCAACTAGTGAACTATAGTTTAATCTCTAATAATTATTAAAAATTTATAGAGAAAATATACAATAAATTAAATTTTAAAAGCTATATAATAGTAGTTTAATTAAACTTCAATAATTATTGTAAATTTTCTATTAAATAATAAAACAAAAATAGATTTATACATAATTATTGAAAATGTATTTATCACAAAAATAATAAATAATTACTGAAATACAATAAATATTAATTTTAGTATAGATAAATATATAATAAATAAAGACTAAGTTTTTAAAATTATTATTAACAAACAATATTTTTTTTGAAAGTTATCTTTAGAATTATTAATTGGTATAAATGAAATTAGTTATTTACAATATTGTTTATTTATTGAAATAATATCATTATTTAAATTTTAAAATATTAATTACTTTTTGAATTTAATAATCCATAAAATTATAGTACTATTAATACATACTTTTATTATTTTAACTATTTAAAAACTAGTTATGTTAAATATTCGTTATTTATCCAAATATTTAAAATCTTAATCTATTTATTATAATTGAATAATCCAGAATCTCAACCCATTTTGGGTTGATTTTGGTAATAAACAATTGCATTCTATGTTTATACAATAGAGTAGGTGCTTTGTATTGGATCAAACCTTCAGCATCTGAAATTCACTAATTTTACTATTTTACCCCTAAATAAGAGAGAGAGAGAGGCTTTTTGTACATCTCATCCTCACTAAAAACATTAAAATTCGTTTGGTCTAGATTATTGGTGCATGCATGGTATGTGACGATTCCCCTTTTCTACTACTATTACATCCACTTTATTGTACAGCGGGCTACACACCTCTAATCACTAACAAACACATTAGTTACCGACACATGTGCAGGTAACAGTATGGAATGCTGAGGTGTTTTTATACTTCATATCTCCTATTTATAAATAGTTTCCATGTCCATACGCACAACACAATATAGGCGTGTCTTGTGAATATCTCCCATGTCATTCATGAGATGATTTTCTTACATTAAGGAAGAGTAAAGTGAGGCGAAGGAAAACGACGAAGAAGAAGAAGGTCTAGCGAATCTGTGCAAAGTGTGGAATCAGAAAATGTCGAGTTAAAAAAATAAGGAGATGGCTATTGAGAAATGCCGATCCAGTGTAGATCTTTAAAGACAAAAGATTGTTTGGTTGCAATTTTTTAATAGATCTTCTTTAAAGCTAAAAAGACCAAAAGACTGTTTGATATATATATATATAGCCCCACAAACAAGTGTTGAACATCTAAATGAAAATGCACCTAGGAAATGTCATGTGGTGGACCCATTTACACATCCAAATGTACATTTAGCACTTGTGGGCCCTATATACACTTTCATTTGTGCAAAAATGACACTTGTGGGTCCCACTTACATATTCACTTGTGCAAAATAATCAGTTTATACATCAAGTTTAATTGTCTTTTAATTTCTAAGAATTCACATCCATAAAAAATAGAGATTTATTGATAATCACTAAAAA